GTATGTCTGTATGTATGTCTGCATGTCTGTCTGTATGTCTGTCTGTATGTATGTCTGTATGTATGTCTGCATGTCTGTCTGTATGTATGTCTATATATGTCTGCATGTCTGTCTGTATGTATGTCTGTATGTATGTCTGTATGTCTGTCATGTCTGTCTGTCTGTATGTGTGTATGTATGTCTGTCTATATGTCTACATGTCTGCATGTATGTATGTCTGTATGTATGTCTGTATGTATGTCTGTCTGTATGTCTGCATGTATGTATGTCTGTATGTATGTCTGTATGTATGTATGTCTGCATGTCTGTCTGTATGTTTGTATGTATGTATGTCTGTCTGTATGTATGTTTGTATGTATGTATGTCTGTATGTATGTATGTCTGTATGTATGTATGTCTGTCTGTATGTCTGCATGTCTGTATGTCTACATGTCTGCATGTATGTATGTCTGTATGTCTGTATGTATGTATGTATGTCTGTATGTATGTCTGCATGTATGTCTGCATGTATGTCTGTATGTCTGTCTCCATGTATGTCTGTATGTATGTCTATACGTATCCGCATTGCATTGCGGCTCTTGAAATATTGTCTGTCTGTATGTCTGTATGTCTGCATGTCTGTCTGTCTGTATGTTTGTATGTCTGTCTGTATGTTTGTATGTATGTATGTCTGTATGTATGTATGTCTGTATGTCTGCATGTCTGTATGTCTACATGTCTGCATGTATGTATGTCTGTATGTATGTCTGTCTGTATGTCTGCATGTCTGTATGTCTACATGTCTGCATGTATGTATGTCTGTATGTATGTATGTCTGTCTGTATGTCTGCATGTATGTCTGTATGTATGTCTGTCTGCATGTATGTCTGTATGTATGTCTGTATGTATGTATGTCTGTATGTATGTCTGTCTGCATGTATTCCTGTATGTATGTCTATACTATCCGCATTGCATTGCGGCTCTTGAAATATTGAGTTTTGTACCAAATTCGACCAAAAATGTGCTCTTGTTGTGATTTTTGTTGCTGACCCCTTGCCTGAGCCTGTAGTCTCCCCTGCCAGAGCTGATGCTTACACACCGCAATGGGTATTGATTTAAGGCTGAGTTCAGATAGAACTTGTCAGTGATGCTTTTGCGATTGCTGGGAATCGAACCCTTTGTGGCCGGGGAGTGTGCTAACCACTGCGCCACCGCGCCTACACACACGCGCACGTAGCACTGGCAAGCAATTGCGTTATAGCGCTCGTTGTAACAGAGACACAAATCGGATTGTTCACACATCGGCAACAGGTGCTCACTTGAGGATGAGTCGACCTAGGGGATGTCCAGGACCGGCTCAGATGATGGCCACTGGCGTTCGTAGCGCAGCGCGCTAACCGCTCCACTGCCGCTCCCAAGCTACAATAACACACGCGCACACACGACTCGTGTGAACACGCACCGAAAAACACACGCGCGCCCAAGCGATTACGTAGCCAACGCACAACTTAAGGCGCGCGTCGCTTCTCCCCTTGCGATGTGGAGCGTCCTCCGGTCGCGGCGGTGCCAATTGTGAGCCAGACGGGGACAATTGCAGAGCTGCGCAGAATCGATCGCGAGCCGCGGAATCGCCGCCCCGCGTGCAAGCACAGCAAGGTGGTAGGGTCATCGCGGCACGCAAAGCATGCTGAGAAACCTGTTATTTTTTTTGCGATCAAAAAACAACGTTAGGGCGTGTATACCGACGTTTCGGGCAATGGCCTTGCTTCACAGCACACAGAGAGGCCAGAGAGGTAGAGTGGCTCGAGGGTCTTTGCCTGAAACGTCGCCTATTATATACATACATTGTTTTTGTTTGTTAAAGCCGCACAGTATTATTGACGAATGTGTTGAGCATTCCCTGGTTGTGCACCACGGGCCAACGCAGCACCACTGAAAACGTTTAATTTTGAGCGTTTAGGTTGACAAAGGTGATTATATGCTTAGTTTTTTCGGTAAAGTCACGTTGAAGAGAAACAACAAAATAATAAAATATATATAAAACAATAAAAAATTCTCACGACGTTTCGACCATAACTCATAACTCAAACGGTCGTTTGAGTTATGGTCGAAACGTCGTGAGAATTTTTTATTGTTTTATATATATTTTATTATTTTGTTGTTTCTCTTCAACGTGACTTTACCGAAAAAACTAAGAATATGAATTACTGCAGTCACGAAAGCTTTAAATCAAAAGGTGATTATGTTATCTTAAATAAAATGAGCCATTAGCGTGAGTGGATGTTGAGCTGAAGTCTGCATCGCCTCCCAGCTCAAACGAGAGTTGGTCCCGAGCCACTGGTGGAAATTCCTCATTCCCACGACGGGGGGGGGGGGGGCTGGAATTCAAGAGGATAGCTATCCCGCTTAATGACCACCACAACATGGCAACTCTGTTATTATCGATCACGTGAAGGAGTACGGCTGAGTTGTACTGGCAAGGCCCTGTTACTGCTCCTGCTCAGCACTTCATTGATCCACCACCACGGCTTGCCAGGTTCCACACGCACGCGTTGGGCTGGGTCAGAGGTCAGCAACAACGCGGCTCCGGAGCCGCGTGCGACTCTTCAAGTTGCCGCTTCGTGAGACGTGATGTTATTTTTAAAAATTATTATTAACGACCACCGCCTCGTATTTCACGTGGCATTGCGGCTTTCGAAATATTGAGGGTGTTTGTTTTTGTGTTACCCAATTCGAACAACAAAAAATTACTCTTCTTGTTATTTTGGTCGCAGAGACCTCTTGGGGCTCTGGGTGATGTGGCCGTGAGGGATAACAGCGCCGAGTGTCTCCCCCCTCTTGTCCTCCACGCTGCGACGGGGTTTTCTCCGGAGTTCTCCGGGTTTTTCCCCCGCACGACGAAGCCAAACACGCGTGGATGGAGTTGGGCCCAAAACGCATCCCAACGTTGCAGGACCCTCCTTGAAAAAGAGTCTCGGGACTCTGCTCGGTCCCTTTTTGGCATTTAAAAGTATTTTTTTGGGTAAACATAAAGTGTACTGTACGTCTTAACACAAACATGCAGTGTAAGTAACTCACGTGCCGAGTCACTAAAACATAAACAAACAAACACACGTATGGCACGGTGTAGAAAACTCCACATAAACACACAGTATGTTATTACAGGCACACACACAGCACATATTGCTGCATAACATGAAGACAAAGATGCCCCTATGGCATCAGCAGATTTTTTGGGGCAAGTGCTGTTGGTGGTTCGAATTGGTGGCGCAGTTGTTAGCGCGTTGTGCTAACCAGTGTGCCACTACTACAAGAACGTGTGCACACAAGCGCGCAGGATGCCACGGATAGACGCCCCTACATCTGGACAGAGGGAGGGGAGAGCGAACCTGGGTAGCTTAGCTCAGTGACACGTGAGTCAAGTCCCTCATGATCTAAGAAAAGATCTGCCCCATGACCCCCATGTCCCCATCAATAACTCCTGTTTCTCTGTCTCCCACCCAGCCATCCACGCCAATCGTGACTCGCACCTACCCTCCCACCCACCCACTCATAGCTCTCACCTACCCCCCCCCCCCACCCACTCAACTACCCACCCACTCACCAACCTTCCCACCCACTCAACTATCCAACCACCCACTCACCTACCCTCCCACCCACTTAACTACTCACCCACTCACCTACCCTCCCACCCACTCAACTACTCACCCACTCACCTACCCTCCCAACCACTCAACTACCCTCCAATCCACTCACCTACCCTTCAACCCACTCACCCTCCCACCCAATCACCTACCCTCCAACCCACTCACCTACCCTCCCACCAATTCAACTACTCTCCCACCCACTCAACTACCCTCCCACCAATTCAACTACTCTCCCACCCACTCACCTACCCTTTCATCCACTCACCTACTCTCACACCCACTCATGGCTCTCACCTACCCTCCCACCCACTCACCTACCCGTCCCAACCATGCCGACGTCACAGTCCAAATTTTATTATTTACCTGCAAATCACCCGATGAGGAAATACATAGCAACGGTGTTCGTATATAGAACTGGTATCCCTCGATTTACTAAAGGTATGAATTCGACAAAAAACACGCATAAAAGCACATTTCTTGAATCTGAATGGGTTTGCCCATTTATTTAATACTGAAATTGGGGATGTGTTTCAGACAGTCATTCCAACTCTCCTCCTAACCTACAAACACGCACCTATATCACTTTTCACAATACAAAAATAATAACGAGGAACGTCAGTATTAAAACGATTGAACAATACTTTAAAACTAAAATATTGAACCTTTTCAAGGAACTCGCCAAAAGATCTGCATATTGGGATGACTGGGAAGTCGATAAAGAACCACTCTATGGAAGTCGCTGTGGTGAAGACCCCGTATGCAAAAATGATGAAAAGCAAGAATAGGTTTTACACTTTCTGGCAATAAAACAGATGTTAAGATGTTCAAACACCAAAGATATACCTTTTCCAACGCACCAAGTCTGCATAAACTACAGATACTTGTGGCAAAACATGAAAAACATGGATTGTCTTTGTAATTTTTGCCTTTTGGTGTCCTCTGGTCTAACAATGGTGAGACAAGGCCACAGAGAAGACTGTCCCTGGTGTAGGCCAATCAGTTTCAAACACAATGCGTTTATTATCAGAGCATGTGTGTTTTGTATGTTTTGCCACAAGTATATGTGGGTAATGCAGATCTGATGAATGTTTGAACATCTTAACACCTGTTTTATTGTCAGCATGGCGTAAAACCTCTTCTAATTTGTCATCATGGTGGAGACCCCTTCTGCCAGCAGTGGCGTGAGCAAGCAGTTGCAGGGCTGCGCCTTTATCCTCATCCACTGCTGGATGAATGCCTCCCCCTCCCCCCCCCCCACGTCGTGGGAAAGACGCTCGATGTGAGACGATGGGACGCTTGTGGGTCAGACTGTTTTCATTCACGAGTGTGTTTACCGTTTACTTAATTTCCCTTCCGTTGGGTTTTCTCTTACAGAGTCTGGGAATAGAGCGAGCTTTTGCTGCAACTGGAACGCATCCTGGAAGAAGAAAAAAAAACAAGATTGAAAATAAAAACGAAATCCGAATATTAATAATTTGTGTATATATAGTGCGTCTCGGAGTCAACCGGCAAACTGTACCAAGATACGAATTCAGAGTTTGAAGCAACGAGAGACAATTGAACAACACGAACTAACTTTCACTTCGATTAACAACAACAACAAAATACAGCTTCAGTAGCAAGTGGGGACAATAACATATTTAAGAAATAATTTATTTTCAATTGACCATCATCGCCACCACAATGTAGGTCAATTCACTTCCCTCCCTAAGTCTTCTGCCCACACAGCGTCACTCTGCAACCCCCTACCCATCATTTTAACTCTTTCCTAACTTTAAAAACCCCTGCTAAATTAGAGAACACGTATTAACGAGTATCCGTTTACACCTCCGATCGTGCTGTTTGTTGCTGGGAATTTTGGGCCTGTGCTCAGCAACTGAAGAGCCATCGCCTATTAGAAAGCAAAATAAATTATGAAGAGCCATCACCTGCAGGAGAACAGCGCTCATTAAGCCACGACCCGGATAGGCGTGTGTGCGTATAAAGGTGACCCGCGTTCGGTCCGAGTGAACATCTCGGGGTAAAGATTGAGCGCAGAGAGGAGAAGGAGAACTCTGAAGTGCCACCATGCCGGTGAAGGCCCCCATGTACCTGAAGGCTCCGCCTAACAAGAAAGGGAAGAAGCCTCGACTCAGGGACATCCTCTCGCCGGACATGATCAGCCCCCCGCTGGGGGACTTTCGTCACCTCATGCACATCGGAGGCTCGGCGATGGACGATTATGACAATGACAGTGGCAACCACGGTGCTCCCGATCATCGCGTCAACCATCAAGGCAACCACATTCACCAGGACCTGCACTACAACCACCAGCAGCAACAACAGCAGCAGATAAACAACCTGCTGCACCAACATCATCAGCAGCAGCAGCAGATAAACAACCTTCTGCACCAACATCATCATCATCAGCAGCAGCAGCCCGTGTTGAAAACGGGACGGTCACCAGGATGCAGTGCGAGCTGCCTGGACGCAATGCGCTCACCCGTGCTCAAGAATGCCCTCACCTTGCCCTTCACGGGCTCCCCTCGTGCCCTGGACCTGCCCTACCTCTCCCCACACTATGCCCCCACCGAGGCGTCGTCACCCACTTGGCCTCCCGGTGGGTGCAATTCCATCGCCGTCGCTGCCCCTCCGCAGAGCGATTCTTCTTCACGGGGGACAGCACCGAAGGATGGCGGCCTTCGCAAACAGCAGTCTGGCGGCTCCGTTGGCGGCGGAAGCTGTAGGTGGTCTAACGACGGCACACTGTGCGATGAGCAAGCGGAGGAGTATGAGGACTTGGATGTGTTTGCCGAGGCCGATGGGGACCTCGTGGTGAAACCGTGGCTGCGTCATCAGGCCAGCATCTCCCGGTCCTTATCAGTGCCCGTTCACGGAGGCCACTCGGTGTCTCCATCATCTTTTTGTTCTTCTGCTGGTGGTGGTGCTGGTGGTGGTGCTGCTGCTGCTGCTTCCACAGGTCGTGTCTTCTCGGTACCGTCGCTCGCCCACACCAACACTCCGAACCATCATCGCCTGTCTTCCACCCTGACCCGCGAAGTCTCCGCGGGCGAAAGCATTGGGCAAACCCGGTCGGGCCAAAGGTCAAACCGATTTCTCCAGACCATGTTGGTGAACGCCAAACTCTCCAAGCTGTTCCACCATTCTTCGAAGAACAATGTTGGGGACGGAACGCCTGGCGGTGCTGGCGGCGGCGACGACTTTGGTGATGGCGCTGGTGGTGCTGGTCTTTCGGGTCAGAAGACGAACTCCACCACGCGTTTGTGGAACCGGTTCAGCTTCTCGAGGGGTCGAGATGGCGGCGGCGGCGGCGGTTCAGGGTCCTCCACCGCGGTGAAGTCTCGGAGTTCACCGGTCAAAGCCATGCAGCTGTACCCAGAGACGTCGACCCTCGGTAGAGATCGCACTCACGAGGCCGGGAAGCCCCCTTTCTCTGGTTGCCAGAATCAAAGGGGGCGGCTGGTGGAGCCATCGTCCCGGTACTCGTGGAGCGGATCCCTGCAGAGGGATTTTGGGAATATTTTTCCCAAGGCGCCGTTCACCGCTGGGAGGACATCGCCCGGTGGAGATGGAATTGCGGGCACGTTGGTTGATGGATCAATGGTGGTGGCAGCAACAGGATCTTCGTTGTCATCATTATTATCATCACCAGCAGTGGCATCAGCAGCATTATCAACGTCACAGCCATTGTTATCAGGAACACCAGCAGCGCCATCATCATCACCATTAGTAGTAGTTCCACCACAACCACTACCACAATCAGCGGCATCACCATCAGTAGCACCACCTCTACCAGCAGTAGCAATATCAACGTCTCAGCCATCACTATCAGGAACACCATCATTCGCACCATCACCTTCCCCGCCATGCGGTGCATCACCTCCATTATATGCAGTGGCACCGTCGTCAGCATCAGCGGAACCGCCACCAGCTCCACTGCTGTCGTCTTCGTCATCGTCATCGTTGTCATCCTCTGCTGCTCGACAGCCGCTGGCGAGGAGTCTCTTTCAGAGGTCGCGCTCCCAGATTGCCGCCGTGTTCCGGAGCGGGATCTTCCACAGCAAACGTCACAGCTCCAACCCCACGGGCAGCGAGGAGGTGGTTTTCCCGAACCGGACCTCGCAAACACAGGACCGATTGCTCGTCAGCCCGACTCGACACCCCTGCGCAGAGTCGCGCAATGGAGTGGCCCAATTCGTTCCTGTGGCCCCAGTGGACTGTGCCATTGATCAGACAGGGGTGCAGGAATGTTTTAAAGGGGCTACGCGCGATGAGCATTTTCAACAGCGAGCAAACGATGCTTTGGAGTATGAGGACGTCGGGGAAACTGCGATGCAACATCAGCCTCGTGATCACCATCAGCAGGAACATCATCACCATCACCACCAGAATCGGCAAAGTCATCAACACCACCGGCAGCAGCAGCAGCAGGAGTTCAATCAGCATTACCATCAGCAACATCATCAGCAGCAGCATACTGATCATCACCAGCAGCAGCAGCATCAAGCTCACGATCAGCCCAGCACAATTCGGCGGTGCTCATCCAAAGACTCGCTGGACCCCTTCCATCTCAGCGGCTCTCTGCTCTCTCTGGGGCTCGACCTGGGTCCCTCTCTGCTTGTGGATGTCCTGGGGGTCATGGACAAACCCCAGGTCCCCTCCGTAGGGGACCCCACGTCTCGGGAGCCCGCGGACAGAAACCAAAGTTCCCCGGAGAGGGACAGCGGCGTGGGATGCTCTGACGGGGACCTGCCTCACGCTGAGACGCCGTCTCGTCAGCCGCGCCTCAATTAAACACCCGGGGGGTTATTTGCCAGATAACGCACCTCTGGACAATGTGTGTGTGGGGGGGGGGGGGGGGGAAGAGCTTCATAGCTCATCGGATTCAACCAGGAGAGATGTAAGAATCTGATACTGAAATAAGACGAACTCAAAACATCGGTCAATAATGCCACCTCGAAAGGGAACACATACATAAAATAGACGATGTTTCGGGCAATGTCCCATCTTCAGAGTACAGATCACATTCTTCCATGTGCCGTAAAGAAGAGCCATTGCACACGGCGCCGCCTGTTGCCTATTTTTTCCCACATTTTAAGGCCGCACAGTGATATCGAGGTTAGTGTTGTTTTGTTATATATAATACAAAGTAAAATGTTTGCATTCGTACAGCAGTGGCGCATGCACAAACGCTCCAGCTAACCAAGAGTGCCTCACATCGCATCTCAAACATTCGAAGGGCACCCACCTCCCCCTCCACCTCCCCTCCCAGTGGCAGCTGTCCCTGTGCAGCACAATGATACTCAGCACCGGCATGCAAATACAGGGGCATTCGTCTGACGAATGTGTTGGGAGTTTTGCTGTTGCCGTCATTGTGCTTTTGCACCACTGCCAAACGCAGTATCGCCGATTCGTTCGTTTCTCAATGCGCTTGCCCTGGTGAGGGTCACGGCGGCAGCGTGTTGAGTAGTGGTGGTCCAGACCTCCCTTTCCCTGGCGACAGACTCTAGCTCTTCCTGGGGAATTCCCAGGCGTTCCCAGGCCAGCCGAGCGACATCGTCCCACCACCACAAGCGTGTCCTGGGCCGGCCCCCCGGGGTATTCGCCCAGTGGGACGTTGCTGCTGCCCGATAGAAGTTTTAGGGGGAGTCTACCGGGGGGCATCCTTACCAGATGCCCGAACCCACCTCAGCTGGCTCCTCTCGATCCGGAGGAGCAGCGGCTCGACTCTCCCGGATTACCGAGCTCCTCACTCGTTCACGGAGAGTGAGCCCGGCAACCCTGCAGGTCAACCTCATTTCTGCCCCTTGTACCCAGTGTCGCTAAATACATATTTCATTTATTTGATTACACAGATAATAATAATAAACACAACTTAGTCCTGACTGAGTCGCGAGACTATTTTCACAGAGTAATTTAACGTGACGCTGACAGATACATAACTTAAATGTGCACTTACACGTCGCCTTCAAAGTGCACCTAGCCTGGCACAAAGCGTCGTGGTGACATCACTGTCACCTGGTGGCGGCTGCTGTTATTGTTAAGAGACAATTGGCCTTACAGCCGAATATGGGCATCCCCTAGGTTAGCTCAGCAGAGAATAAGTGGGCCTGCCTAGTGCGGCAGTGGTTTGGAAGATGAAGCGAGCTTTGGTGGTTACTGTGGTGGTGGATTCACGTGATGGTGGTTACTTTGATGGTGGTGATGATAATTGTTGTGGCGCTGCTGCAGACTGCTTGACCCAAGTTTAAATTCCATTTGGTGGGGTCAGCCAATCATATCGCCAGGATAGATAAAATAGTTGGGTGGGGGGAACAAAATATCTCACCTTTGTTGCCACATGTGCCGCTGGACGACAGGTGATGAGCGAGGGGGCGGCGGGGGTGGGCTTGGTGACATCAGCAAAATTAACTGCGTCACGCTGGGCGTGGCTTGCATGGGTTTCCAGCCTTCTCGAGGCAGAATGTGGGGTCATGTGCCATGTTTAAATGTTCGGTCAGCCCACTGACTCGGTAAATCGCACCAACTCTTAATTTGCGGGCAGCTTTGAAAGCTTTTTGACACGTAATGGCTCAACACTTGCCAGCGACAAACTTTTATACGAAAGTTACATTTTAATTTCTTTAAATAATCGCGTTTTGCGTGACCTGTGCTGTACTGACGAATATGTACACACACATCACCCGGGGAACGCGCCAGACCTGGTCAGTTCTCAGAAGCCAAAGCAGGATTTTGAGCCTGGATTGCGCTTGCATTGGCGAGCGCCGCTATGCATTAAACAAAGTGGTGCGGGCTGCTGCGGAGTGCGGTGCAGTCAAATCCATCGTTGTATGGTACTATGCTCCAACATCTATGGCTCTCTGCCTTCAACAACCCGCTCGAAACCAGAGTGCGAAAGTATGATAAAATAACCCCGACAATCCGCACGGAAGGAGGAGGGCCCTCATCCAGCAGTGAATTTGCAAAAAGGGCACTACACTTATGCGTTCATGCCAAAGCGTCATGGATTAAATGAACGACGGCTGGGCCGGAACCAGTCTTTGGAATTCCACGTTCTTATGACGGGGCACAGTGTATCCTTGTGAAAGCTCTACTGTGATCTGCAACCACGGTGCGAGCTGCTTCATAAGTGGGTACTGGTTTTAGCGACCCCGGAGGGATGATGATTGACGGTCATCGATGATGGTAATGGGGCTAAGATGACCATGACCACGATTCAAACCCATGCGAACATACGACTAAGAGCCCTACCAGTAACCGTGGAACGTTGGGCCAACGTTGCCTCAACCTTGGTCCAATGGTTCCAACCGCATGCCAACATTGGCCCCAACGTTAGCATGTTTACTGGGCTGTCGTTCTACGACATGAGCTACGCACACTATATATAGAGTGAGAGTCTCACGGCACGCCTTAAGTGACCTTTCTTGCAATGTTTGAACGGTATAGGCAAGTACACACGCCACGTGCAGTGTGCGGAATGGACACTCGCCTTCATGTACATCTGTTGTATATTCGCACCTTGCATTGTCAATGTGCGTTGTTACAATAAAGCATCAAGCTTTAAGCGCAAACCTGTCTGGGTGTTTCCTATGTGGCTGCATACGGATGTGTATTCCCACCCCCGAGGTTGCTGACATACGTTGTGAGTGAACGCGTGTAAATCTTGACTTAGAGCTATCGTGGCTGCAGGAATTCATACTCTTTGGGTCTTTAGATCTACGTGACTTTACCGAAAGACCCAATGAGTGAACGCGTGTGTTGTCCTAGTCTTTGTGCACGGGGTGTGTGAACATGTGGGGAGCGGTGGCGCAAGCGGTTAGGTTAGCGCGCTGCCCTACGAACCTGGCGGACCCGAGTTCGATTCCCGATCATGGCCAACACCGGCGACGATTACCTGAACCGATCCTATGCCTCCCCTAGCCTCAAACGAGTACCTGGTGCGGTGTTTAAACATTGCCACGTGGTGCTGGCCCACCCACCCCCTCGTGTACCTTCATAGGTGCTCGCAAACAACGCATTGCTCTGACGGTCTTTAGGCCAGTTGTGAGATTTCTGTTATTTTCTTTCGTCTGCGTCTTCGCGATAACGCGTGGGGGAGCGGTGGCGCAGCAGTCAGCGCACTGTTCAATTGACACCGTGGCTAAAACTTGACTCCCGGTCACGGCTGACATCAGTGCTATCAAAACGGGTCCTTAGGCCTGCCTTTGCTTGACTGGGTCTTAAATGAGCAACCTGGTGCGGTGTGCACGCAGCAGCCCTTGGGGTCGTGCGCGACACTGACACACCACCCCCTCGTTGTTCTGGCCTTAATAGGTGCTCGCTAACAGCACTTACCCCAACAACGGATAAAGGCTATATGGGGGAGACGTTTGTCAGTGTATGTGTACTCGTGTAATGTTCGTGCTAAGCGTGTGTGTGTGTACAGACAAGTTGCTACACCTGTTTTCTGCAATCACTCGTGACCCTAAACGCCAGCAAACTTGACCTCGGGGTCAGAACAAAGATATTTGAGAGAATGGGATGGGTTAGGGGTGGAGGGGGTGTGAAGGAGACACTCAAGCAGGGGCGCGGGGAACCGGTCCCTTACGGAGTGCTGAATGGAACTTGCTGACAACCTTTGCAGGGCTAACAAACAAAAAACAACAAAGACAAAGATCCCCCGTATAGCCTTAACAGACTGTTGGGGCAAGTGCTGTTAGCGAGCACCTATGAAGGCCGGCACGGCACACGAGGGGGTGGGTTGACAACACCACGCCCAAACGCCTTTGTCTCCCCAGTGGCGATGTTTACACGCCGCACCGGGGACTCATTTGAGGCTGAGTCGACCTAGGGGAGGCCCGTGACCCGGTTCAGATAACCGTCACTGATGTTGGCCGTGAGCGGGAATCGAACGCGGGTCGCCAGGTTCGTAGCGCAGCGCGCTAACCGCTACATTACCGCTCCCCACTATTGTGAAGACACACAGACACACACCTTGGCGTAAATCCGTGCGTGCCGACCAGGTCGAGAGAGCCTCTTACAAGTGACAGGAGTTGACTGCGCGCGCGAACACTGCAAGCTGCGTTTTGTTGCAGGTCGTAAAGATCCCACCCAGTGCCCCATCAGTGCTGGCGGTGACAGACGCGGTACAGTGTAATGGTATAAATTGCATGGTTGTGAGTTCAAATCCTGATTATAGGAGTAGAATGTGCCCCATTATCCCTCTCGGGAGAGGGCAGTACATTTAGTACCACCTTGTGGGAGAAGTTAAGGGCCCGTCCATAAATGACGTCACGCACCTGGGGGGGGGGGGGGCAGACATTTGTGACGATGTGTGACGATGTGTGACGATGGGGGGGGGGGTTTGAGAAATGTGACGTCACATTAAAATCCGCAACTTTAGACAACACGTTCTACTTAATTAAATAGACTTTTTAATAAATGTTTTCTCCTACAACATCAGTGCAGCGCCACATTTAATACGCACTACAATGACAATAGTTTAAAGCGATTTGAAACATGTTTTTTTGGGGGGGCGGGGCAGAGCTTTGTTACGTCATAGTTGAGGGGGGTCTAACTTTTTGTGACGACGTGTGACGAGGGGGGGGGGGTCAAAAATAGTCAAAAATCGCGTGACGTAATTATATGGACGGCCCCTAACAGTGATTGTATTATGTGAATACACTCACCCCCGCCATATGAACGTGGAATTTCCACCATTAACTCAGGTCTGTAAACAGGCGACGATGCTCATTTTTTGGGCCGGAAATCACGGATTGTCGTCGTTGTTTTAATATGGAATTGGCACGGGTCACGTGGCAGCCGGAGCTGATGAAACGAAATCGCTGTTTGATTCCGGCCCACGGGATGTGGTCCCCCCACGCCCCCTGAGCTCCACGCTGCATTGCGGTCGTGCTGTGCAACATCTGCAACGAATTTTCGCCTCGACCGAATCCTGTCTTGGCCACCACCGCCCTCACCTGGCGGACAGGTGAGTATTGCAGATCGACGCGACTGGTTCACCGAAGTATAACAATAGGTTTGACCCTTTCTGGCAATAAATAAAGGCGTTAGAAGATGTTCAAACACCAGACAGACTGAAACCTCTTTGCAAGGAGTTATGTCTGCATTAACCACGTATACTTGTGGTGAATATGCAAACAAAAAAAATACATGCTCTGACAGTATGTGCATTAAATTTAGATGTAAGGCTTTCGTGACTGCAGGGATTCATATTCTTGGTTCTTTCGGTAAAATAATAAAAAAATATAAAAGATTGTTTTATATTTTTATTGTTTCCCTTCTACGTGACTTTAAAAATATAAAACAATATTTCATATTTTTATTATTTTATTGTTTCCCTTCTACGTGACTTTACCGAAAGAACCAAGAATAGTATGTGCATTGTCTTTGAAACTGATTGGTCCACACCAGAGGCAGCTTTCTTTCGAGCCAAGTCTCCAACAGTGTGAGACCAGAGGACGCCAAAAGGCGAACAGCACAAAGACAATGCCACTATGAGGGCATTGAGAGCTCGGGGTGAGCAGCTACATCAAGGGACCTCTCTTCGTGCTGTTTTATTGCCAGAAAGGGTTAAACCGATTCTTATACTTTGACACTGGCAAGGGAGGTCGTCCCATGTCGTTCACCCAAGGCCACAGTGGGTAGGCAAACCACAATAACTCGAAGAGAAAATTTAATGTATTCGATTAAAAAAACCCTCAATATATCAAGAGCCGCGATGCCACGTGATGAAAACGAGACGGTGGTATTGGTTAGATCGCGTTAGTAGAAATGTGTCGCGACCCTCCACCACCCGACACGGCAAATCAATAAAAAAACATGTGTCACGCTAACAAGACGGTGGTGTTCTTTGGGTCTTTCGGTAAAGTCACGTAGATAGGTTCAAAGAAAATAACCAAAAACTCGGACGTTTCGATCGCACCGCAAGCGGTCTTCGTCGCTGCTTATGTTGCGATCGAAACGTCGTAGTTTTTTAAAATTTTCTTTGAACCTATCTACGTGACTTCACCGAAATGCCCAAAGAATGTGAGAATTCCTGCAGTCACGAAAGCTTTAAGACCTAGGCACACGAGCAGGTAGGTAAGCGAGCAAGCTAAGCAGGTAACCAGGTGGGTACTGAGCCTGACAGGCAGATCAGAGCACGAGGTAGGTAAGTAGGGAGCCAGATGAAGATATAGGAAAGCTTGTGAGTGGGTGTATAGGTGCCTTGTCATCTACGTAGGTTTCGATTTAAAGCTTTCGTGACTGCAGGGATTCATATTCTTGGTTTTTCCGGTAAAGTCTTTCCGACAGCTCTGTTTCTTCTTCGCCTGAGGACGGCTGCTTGCGTTGTGGCCGAAACGTCGTGATAATTGTATTTTATTATGTTTTATTTTTGTTTTTTTTTATTATTTCCCTTCTTACGTGACTTTACCGAAAGAACCAAGAATATCTACGTAGGTGTGTGGGTAGATAGATATACATATAGGGAGAATGTATCGCAAAGCAGCTATGAAAATACAGTAGGTGTCTAGAGGTAGGTCAGCAAATAGTTGAGCAGGTAAGTTGGCAGAATGCAGGTGAATGGGTAACCTCAAATGTATGTGGGTGGGCAGGTAGACGAGTGGGTAGCCAGGATGGTACCTCGGCAGGTAGGTAGGAAGGCGGATGAGGGCCGTCCATAATTGACGTCATGCGATTTTGGACGATTTTTGACCCCCCCCCCCTTCGTCACACGGCGTCACAAAAAGTCAGACCCCCCTCAAATATGACGTCAAAAAGCTCTGCCCCCCCCCCCCCAAATAAAACATGCTTCAAATCGCTTTAAACTATTGTCATTGTAGTGCGTATTTAATGTGGCGCTGTACTCTGATGTTGTAGGAGAAAACATTGAAAAGTATATTGAATTAAGTGGAACGTTTTGTCTATATTTATTTAAAGTTGCGCATTTTGATGTGACGTCACGTTTCTCAACCTCCCCCCCAGGTGCGTGACGTCATTTATTGACGGCCCCTGAGTAGGTAGCTTGGCATGTTGGGTATGCAGGTGGACATGCTGGCACGCAGTTTGGCAAGCAGGTGCATGAGTGGGTAGGCAGCCAGATACTCTATACCGCTTACCCGCTGTTTCTCACACAACTAGGGTTGCCACCTGTACTCTTGTTGAGGCAGCGGCTGCCGCAGGACATCTACGAAGTCTCCTTAGGACATTAAAAGTCCCGGCTTTAGTCGGTTGCGTAATAACATTGACAATTTCAGCACTCCACACGAAGCGTTCACGTCGAGCTCTATGCTGTTGCGGCGGTAAAATAGCGAGGGCATTCTTCCCACGATTGATATGTCCCGGTTATTGTGAAGTGGCAAGTATCACACTCACAGCCCGTACCCTCCCCCAGCGCTTGATGGCCTGCTGCTGCTGCTTGGGCCTGTCCAGAGCCACAGACCGGAGTCAAACTGGGGCGACAGAGCCACGGTGGACGAAGCAGAAAGTAAACAGGAGCAAGCCATTCTAGAGCAAGCCACGTTGGAGACGTGGCGTGTGCATCACTATGGCGAGAGGAGGAGTCGAACCGGCCCAACTGGAATGATAT